CGGATCGCCGCGCCCCACGGGGCGAACTTCTCACGCTCCGCGCGCAGATCCTCGCGCCCCACGGGCCGATCTCCGCGCCCCACATGCGGAACATCGCGCTCTACAGGGTGATCTCCGCGCACCCATGCGGTTCATCACGCTCCACGGGAAAAGCCTCCTGCTCCACGCGTGGATCTTCGAGCTGAGCAAGGTCCGGAAGACAGCACCGTGTCCTTCGCGAAGCACGTGCCTTGGGCCTCCGACGTGCTCGGCGACGCTCCTGAGGACCCCTCGCTCTTCGTGCGCGCCCTCCCTGACGCTAGTGAGCAGCGCCACGCGAAGGCGCTGGGCGAGGTGAAGATCGAGATGGAGACCGACGCCACGCTCCAGCTCACAAGGAGCTCGCCGATGCTCTCTCCGCACGCGCCGGCGCCGTGCTCTCGGCCGCCTGCAAGAAGTGCGACCAGGTGCCCGCCGACAAGGGCACCGTCGTCCAGAAAGCGCACGGCCAGATCTACAGCAAGGTGCCCGCAGTGCACGCCGCCCCCAAGCGCATCCAGAAGTCCGCTGCCTCGTCATCAACATCTACCCTGGCGGCCGCACACCGTTCCAACGGCCTCGTGGCCTCGGCCGCTCGCCATCGGTGTGCTTGCTGCCTGGGATATCGACCCATCTCGTCCGACGGGGGTCGATTTCTCAGGTCGGGCATTTGAGCGCGTGGAGCGGAGGTCGCCTCCCAGCCGCTACGAACATCACCAGCAGCATCACCATCACCATCATCACCATCGGCATCATCGTCCGTCCTTCTGGTGTTCCTCCCTCTTTCCTGCCTCCTTCCCTTCCCCCCCCACTCCCTCCCTCCTTTTTTTTTTCTCTCTCTCTCTCTCTCTATGTGTGCCTCTCTCTCTCTATCTCTCTCGATATCTAGTTGTTGTTCTTCTCTCTCTCTCTCCTTCTTTCTCTTTCTCTATGTCTCTTTCTCTTTGCTCTGTTGCTTGTTGTATCATTATCTGTATTTCCCTTTCTCTCGCTCTCTCTTTCTCTCTCTCTCTCTCTCGTTGTTTTTATTCTATATATAAATATTTCTATCTCTCTCTCTCTCTCTGTTTCTTTTCTTTCTCTCTCCCCCCTCGCCCCCTCACTTGTCCGATCCGCTTGAAGCGAGAAACTCCCCTGCCCCCGTGCCAGACCTTGCATTGACATTGGAGCACGAAAGCTGCAATTGCTGTTCATCTAGCCTTCTCCCTCTTTCTCCGTTTCCCGCTCATCTTCGATCCCTGCTTTTGCGTGCGGATGCCAGTGATGATGTTGCAGATGTTGCTGCTTCGGGTTGTTGCTCCGACTCGTCGCCGTCGTCCTGTCATTCTTCTGCTCGATAGTTTGATCCTCCTCTTCCTCCTGTTCTACCTTTTTCGTAATTGCTACGTTGAAATTGGCGCGTTACTCCTCATGTTGGAGCCTGTCTTTTTCCGGCCGATGACGGCCGTCATCTGGGGGGGGCGATGACGTCAAGTGTCGCGTCATCGGCGTTTGGGAACGCATAGGAATGACCGAGGACGGGTAGCAGCAGCATGTAGGTGGCAATCTACACCGCACCACGTGTTCTGTGTACACCACAGTGCCTGCGTGCACCACAGCGTCGGTGTACATATGTACACCACACCGCTTATGTACACCACAGCAGCCGCGTGCAACACAGCGCAAGTGTGTGCCACAGTGTTCGCGTGCACCATAGCGCTCGTGTGCACCATAGCGCCTGCGTGCACCACATCAGCCGTGCGCAACACAGCACCAATGTACACCACAGTGCCCGCGTGCACCACGGCGCCAGTGTACACCACGGCACTTGTGTGCACTACAGGAAACGTGCGCAACAGAACAGCATTGTTGCATATAAAATTCCGAAGCAATCCTTATGACAAAGTGGAGCGCCTATAGATTCCACAGCAGACAATTTTTTAATGTAGATTTGGAAAGCATTTCTTATGGAAAAGGGGCGCCGCTGGAATCTACGAGTCCTCCCGAGTCCCGCCGCATCGTCATAATTTGTCCCATCTGCGTCCAGAGGGCTCCCGCAGACTTGATCGTCCGAGAACCAAATGGACTGATTCAATCGACCATTTTGCGATGCACAACGAGATGCGCAAGTGCGCTGTAGCGCCGACACGCACGAAGGGGGGAAAAGGTGAGGGAGGAGGGTCGAGGTCAAGGTCCCGTACGAGCATGAAGCCCGGTCCGATACCGGACGCGGAGTGAAACAAACACAATTGCACGAACTACGTGTCCTCTCCTGCTGCATGTTTATTGATGCTGGTGCGTTCATGGTTGTGCGTCGGAAAACTGGGAAGAGAAAGGGCGCGCGAAAGGAGAGAGGGACTCACGACGGGCACGGACGAGAGGCGAGGCGAGGGGAGCGGAAGGGAGGGACGACGGACAGGAGGGGGGACGACGGAGGAAACGCGAGCGGGAATCAGACGCCGCTGCGCCACGTCGTTCGCGGTCTGCCTCTGCAGCGCTTCGGCTAGGCAGGCAACTTTGCGTCGGCAGTGCCGCCTGGGTTCCAGGCCACGACTAAGCTCAACAGCGCGTCCTGGCTCAAACGAACGAGTTTCTCCTGCAACTGGGCTTTGCTCTTGATGAGTTCCGTGGCCCATTGCCGGATGGGCATGCGAGCTTGTGTTGCTTCGAGTTTTGTCTTCAGCCTCTTGTACATGTCTGACCAGTCGTCTGTGTCGAGCTTGACATACCCCACCATGCAGCGTAACATCTGCCGCTGTGGACTTGCAGGCTTTTCAACGCCGTTCGCTGTCAGAGGTGCCGTCGACAAACCGTACAAGGCTTTCGGGGTGATGATGCTATCGAACAGCCGGGCACGGAGGTCGAAGTCGACGTGTTTGTTCGTCAGGGCCGCTCTGAACGCATTGAATTTGGCCCATGCACAACGAAGCCGATTTGCAAGCATAGCCCTGCCTCGGATCTTGAGGTTGCCCCGGGAAACGGTTTCCGAAGTATGTGCGGCAATCAGAAGACCTCACCACGTTGATGAAGTCCCCATCTGCGTCGACGAACACCTCAGATGCATTGTCGTACAGGTACTGATCCAAAGTGAAGATCCGGCTCTTCTTGGCGTTCAGCTCCAAGCCGATTCGCTGCAGCTCTTCGTTCAGCACGTCGGGCATCTCAGTGAACTCTCCCAGACTGTTTGCGTAGACAATCGAGTCTTCTGCGAAACGCACGTGGGACAGGCGTCTGCTGCGGCATCCGGGCTCGAGCTTCACGCCGTGGTCGCGAAAGCTGGCGCGCCAGCGCCGCATGACCATCTCCAGTCCGGCAGTAAACAGCAGCGGGCTGAAAACTCCACCTTGACGAACACTCCTTTTTGATGCCGAAGATGCTGTCAGCCCCGAGACGCCCAATCAGCTTCCTGTAGGTCGCCGACAATATCTTCAGAGAGGGGCGTGGAACTCCCTGTGCATCCAAAGTTTCAAACAAGTGCGGCCACAAAATACGATCAAATGCCTTCTTCAGGTCTAGGCTCGCGAAAAAGAGGGGCACGTGATAGTCGATCGCCTTGCGGATCGCCGTCTCCAGGACTAGCAGGACGTCTTCTGTGCTGCGGGCCGGCGTTGAAGCCCGTCTGCTCGTCGGATTGTTCTTGGTGGGGTTGGTGCTTGAGGCGGCCGCGGAGAACGCGAGCGAAGATCTTTCACGTCACTTTTAGAATTGCTATGTGGCGCCAGTTGGACGGATTGGACAGATCCCCAGACTTTGGAATCATATCGAAATAAGTCTCATGCCAACCTTCGTCGACGCGCCCCTGTCGCAATACGTCATGTAGGGCTGCAGCGAGGAACTGCAGCATCTCCGGGCCGCCCTTGGAAATCATCTCTAGAGCAGTTCCAAATCAGTCCCGGCACTGGCCTTTTGCCATCTGCTTCACGGCGCGGTTCAATTCCCCAGGCGTGATCGATGTGATTGTGCTCATGTCGGCGTCGTCGAACGTTGTGCAGCTGTTGTCGCTCGCGAAGATGTCGCCCGTGAGCTCTGCCATGTTGTCCGGCGGCCTGCTGGGGGCGGCGTCGCGCTGGACTGGGAGCCGACGCGCAGAAGACAACGCAGATATGTTGCGGGAGTCGCCGGGAATCTGAACAATATTTTGTTTTTTGACTCTGCGTAGGTTGTCCGTGCATCCTTTGGATTTCCTTCGACAACTCTTTCCGTCTCGCTTTGTCCGTGCATGTCTTCCGCTCGTGCCGCAATTCCCTCAATCTACTACCATTAGCGAGATCAGCGGCGCGCGGGGGGTCATCGTCGGGGTCTGCCTCTGCGAAGAGACTGATACCGTCTCACTTCCTATCAGAGTTGTAGGCCGCTCCGCCGTTAAAGCCGCTTTCAGATTACAGAAGTAATTGTCTGGCTCAATCCATTTCTGGGCAGGCTTCCGCCTCGATCGCGCGTTCCGGTCTACGGAGCGGCCTTTCTGCACCAGCATTGCCTCGACTGCTCTGCGTCTGCGGTCCCAGCCCAACTCAAGGCTGTCTACGGCATGCGCGTGGACTGCGCGAAAGCCAGGCCCGTGCAAAACAAAATCGACCTGCCGCTTCACACCCAAACTGCTGGTGAAAGTATACACCTCTTCCAGAGAGCACCCCCCGCAGTCGTTGGCGATCTGCAAATTGAAGCAGCCTGTGAATCTCCAGAGCTTATCTGCGCGAATGCCTGTATTGAGTTGCGCGTTGAAATCCTCACCGGTTGTGTAACAAGAACTGAACGACGAGGCCCGTCTCGCCGCTGTGGCCAAGCATACATACGCGTCGTCCAAAGCATCCGCAGGGTATCCCACATGCGGCATGTAGCAAGATGTGACGCTTAATTTCGCACCTATTCTGGGAAGACGCACGGCAAGAACTCGATCTCCCAAACTTCTCTTCGCTACAACATGATATGCCCAACGTGAATGAATTAAAACAGACACTCCACCGCAATCCTCGCCCCAGCTTGTGGTTGCCGTGGAGCTCGCACTCTGCCGCAGCGGCACTTTTCTCACTGAAGCGAAGAAAGTCCCACGTCATGTCGTGCAGCTCGGATAGCATGTCTGCCCACCGTTGCGCTCTGCATACGTGCATTTGTATAATAAACCGTCACCTGCAGCGGCGGGTGAAACAATGTGTCCGCCGGGTGCTGTCCCTAGTGGGGACCTTTCTTCCCCTTGCCCTGGACTTTTCGGCTCCTTTCCCAGCCGCTGCAGCCGTCCGGCGTGTGTTGGCGAGGAGCTCCTTCCACCCTCCGTCCTCCTTCAAATGCTCCACCCGGCCCTGCCCATACTTCATCTTGCGGTTCCCCGTCCTCAACCGTCGCCTCCACCGCCGTCTCCCCCCCTAGCTTCAAGACGTTCGTGTCCACGTCCACCCAAAGAGCTTTCTCGTCGAAGCCCCACTGGACGAACAAACCCTTCGCCCCAAAGAGCATGTGGCCTGCGGGGCGCGCGCGCGCGTGGACCGGCAGGTCGGGCCTCGCCCAAAATTGCTTTGTCTCCACACGCGAGGCGTGCCGCCCGGATGTTCGACGCGGCCAAGTCCCGGGCTGACGAAGAAGCTTGCAGCTCGCTGAGGGGCAGCGAACGCGATCTGTGTTTCTGGGGCGACGGGGGAGGAGGCAATGCTCGTAGGGTAAGAGCAAACCTAAGCAGCCCAATCGTCGGTAAGAGCAAACCGAAGGTCCGAACTTGTCGCGACTGGGTGTCGTAAGGATTGTTATTGACGGATCAAGCGCGCCGGTTCAGCGTTTGGGGATCTGGCTCAGGAAGCAGCGCTGCCCCCCAAGCGACCTCCAACGAAGAAGCAAAGACACCGAGCAGCATGTTGGAGAACTCGCCCTCGCAGTAAATCTCGCACGCGCACGGGGCGCTGCACCACCACAGCTGGTCCGTCGGCCACCCCCCCAGCTTCGTCAGTCCTTTCGAAGCCGACGAGGTTCCCGAACACCGCTGTCACCTGGTTGGCGTTGTCGTCGGTCGTCACGTTGGGAGCATTCATCTTGAGCTCAAGCTGTTGAAACCGTTCTGTAAGTTCAGCATCGTTTCCGAAGCTGGAAGCCACAGACGACGCACGCGAGCCTACCTTGCTGAACTTCGCCTCCATTTTTTTCAAGTAGACCTGCTGGTCGGACAGCTCCTTTTCGAGTTCTGCGAACTTTTGATCGGTGTGATCGTTCATCGTGTTGATGGTGATGTCGAGCGGTCGATGTCTGTCTGAACGGAGCGTGAACTTCCTGTTGAACAGAGTTGAGATAGCGTCTAAAGTGAGGGGCTCTGCATGTGGAGCCGCACTGTCAAAGTTGAGATGACGGGCGGTGCCCCCAAGACTCTCGGGCTCGATGGACTCACCATCCATCTCATTCAATGGGCTGGTTTGTCGGGCGCGACTCTCATCATTCCTGACTGGCGTTGAACTGGAGTGGACCTCTGCTGAGTTACTGGAGCCCCTCTCGCCTCCAAGCGGCGTCCTGGGAACCCTCGTGCCCTTTTTCCGCGTCTCAGGTCCTTCCAGCAAAACCGAATCAGGGAGCAGCTTGCCAAGCTCACTCTCAAGTTCAGGTGTCGACAATTGCACGCAATAGCAGGAGAACGAAAGAGAAGAGACAGGTGGGTACAGTAGCCGAGTGTGAGTTGTGCCGAGTGTGACTTGAGCCCTTGATTCGAGCCCAGGAAGGGTGAGGGAGGAGGCGGAGGAAAAGGAGGAGGAGGAGGAGGAAAAAGACGAGGAGGAGGAGGGCGAAGTGGAGGAGGTGGTGGAGGAGGAGGAGCAGGAAGAGGAGGAGGGAGGAGGGAAAAACATCGCATTCTATTATCAACATGTTCTTGGCGTGGCGTGTAGCTGTCCCTATCACATTCTCACCTACATGTTCCTTCTACCTGTCCTGTGCACGCAGGCGCTGTGGTGTGCACCGGCGCTGCGTTGCACGCGGATGCTGTGGTGTACACAGGCGCCGTGGTGTGCACAGGCGCTGCGGTGCACGCAAGCATTGTCGTGTACAGGGGCGCTGTGTTGCACATGGTTTCTGCGGTGTACACATTCGCTGTGGTGTACACAGGCGCTACGCTACACACGGCTACTGCGGTGTACGCAGGCACTGTGGTGTACACGAGCGCTGTGGTGCACGCGAGCACTGTGTACACAGGCGCTGTGGTGCAGATCGCCAGTTACATGCTGTTCCTACTTGGCCTCGGTCATCCCTAGGCATTCCCAGACGCCGCCGGCGCGGAGCGTGACGTCATCTGGTGGGGGGGGAAGTCCAAGGCCGATGACGGCCGTTGCCCCGGAAATGACAAAACAAAAGTTGTTGGTCGTTGTTTTCCTCGTCGTGTTTCTGAGCGTCCGTCCTCCCTGCGAAATCCCGTCGTTGCCATATTCAGCGTTCATCATGGTAGCACGACGAGTGTACAGGAGTCAGATCACACAAAAGCAAATGCTGTTCGAAGCGGCTTCAAGTATACAAGCGCAGAAGGATGACGGGAGGATTCCTCCCTCCCTCCCTCCCTTTGCCCCCCCCTCCCCTTCCCATTGCCTCCCCCCTCCCACCTCCCTCCCTTCCCGTCCCCCCTCCCCCTCCCGTTGCCCCTTCCCTCCCTTTGCCCCCTTTCTCCCCTTCCCCCCTCCCTTTGCCTCCCCCTTCCCACCTCCCTCCCTTCCCGTCCCCCCTCCCCCTCCCGTCCCCCTCCCTTTGCCCCCTCCTTCCCTTTGCCCCCTCCCTCCCCTTCACCCCTCCGTTTGCCTCCCCCCTCCCACCTCCTTTCCCCTCCCCCTTTCCCCTTCCCGCCCCCCTCCCTTTACAATTACTCAATATGAATACTACTCTCCCTCTTCCCCTGATGGCATGCTGGAAATATTCGACCCCCCCCCCGCGTATGGTTTTTTACACACAGGATTCCCGGGAGTTGGGTTTTCGCCTGCGCGTTTTTTCAAAATGCTGCTCTCGCTGAGGCGCCGGCCTCATTTCTGCTCCCGAATCGTTCCGAATCGTGCTCCCGCTGCAGCGTGGGCCTCATTTTCGGATCGGTGTTTTGCCTCCGTCGTTCAGGATGGCGTTCTCGCCCCAGCGCGGGCCTCTTTCTCGCGCGCCCATCCGCCCGCCACCACCGCGCCGCACCACGCCCCGCCCCGCCGCACGCACACCCACCGCCACTTCCACCCACCAACGCACGCACGCACGCACGCGCACCACCACCGCGCACCGCCACCACCACCGCACTACCCCACCCACCACCACCACGCTACACCGCGTCACACCACATC